ATCAACAGAACAAGGAGATACCCTTCTTTGAGCTATCCAGAGCCATGAGACCTTGCAGAGGGTACATTGACAACTTGGCAAGCAAATTCAAGGTCCACCTATCCTTGGCTGAACTATCTGCATTGTAATACTAAAAGTCATGCCTATGGATCCCTTGCCCAGGTGAAGACCCTTCCCCTGAGCATGCATAGAAGTATTGTGTCAGCAGTAATATAATTGTATGTAAATTACTAACCAATCATCCTAGAGAGGATGGGCTTGGAAAATCACTAATTTGGCAAGTTTTGTGTATAAATATAGTGCAAAAAGTCCCATTGGTGTGCTTAACTTATTGGAAACCACCAAGCACCGAGGCTTGGGCTACCCTGAAAAAAATAAGCAATGTCTCTCCTGAGTGTGTGATTATTGACCTATTGCACACTGGGTGATGAATCCACTTTTCAGACAATACCAAAGAGGCACAACTTACACACTGTGCTGAGGTCTGGCTTGCACCTACCAAACACTGCTCAAAGTACTGCACCTGACTTGCACCTACCAAACAGCACCTTCAAAGTAGAAGAGAGTCTCTTGATCTGAAAACATACCAACGGACACCAGCTAGACCAAAGACCCAGTCTTCGACTATGTGACCCCTGTAATTAAAAAGAAACAATGGAAGCAGAAGTCAACTCATTTAGTAAGGGATGAAGAAACTTCTCGTAAGAGGGAACAAAAAGAGAATCAGAAGAGGCTGTCTGTTCTGCAGCAGAGCAGTCCCAAGAACAGGAGAAGGAAGACTGAAATCATAAATGAGACAGAAACCACCCAATCCTTACCCCTAAGAGAACTGCTATATATATATGAAGATATTTAGCCATCAACCAGGCAAGCAAATTACCAGCTGGTCACTCCAATTCTGGGATATTGGGGCCTGTAGTCAGGAATTAGAGGGTAAGGAAACCCAGCAGCTGGGATCCCTTGCTAAGGCCATTGACAAAGGGTTTAGAAAGGGGCAGGAGTCCTCAGTCTTTGGAGGGGACTAGTGTGAGGAAGAGGTATCCCTTCAAGGAAGATCTTGCAAATTCCTGAAGCAAGTGGACCACCACTGAGGGAGGTATCCAGTATCTGAGGGAATTAGCCATGGTGGAGGTGATCCATAACAATTTGGATGACCAGGTATCCAAAGACTTGGATGAAATCCAGTGCACATGGCTCATGTGGTGGGAGTTTGTACAAAGTGCACCAATGTTATATGGCAACACCCTGGTGATAATGACAGACACAGAGGCACCAAGTACGGATGGATTTGCCAGAGAGCTCTGAGAATTCAAAGGGAATCTTGCTTCCTCCCTACAGACCTCTGTCTCAGCTGTGAAGAAGCTGTCCCAGTTGTCCCAGCAATTAAGGGATAGGTCTTCCTCACTCATACCAACCAACATCTCAGCCATTAAGAGACAGCCTTTTTCTGTTCAAGGGAGAGGGTGTCAGTGGCACACACCATGTGTGACCAGGGGAAGGACATGATGAAGTGGATTGGATGAGCCTACCTGGAAACTAGGAGCTCAGGTACAGGAACTGTAAGAAAAAACAACAGCCAAAGCCATCCATCCAGGAAAACTACTGCTCTGGTGCCTGTTGGGCAGAGTAGTGCTGATCTTACTTTTGACCCTGAAGGGACTTCTGGTTTGCAGTTTAAAACATTAAGTAGTGAATAGTCTGACCAGGAGTAGAGGGGCCCTGCCTTCAGCCAAATGGAGGAAAGGGACAACCAGATTTACTGAGCTGTGGGGATCTGATGGCCTGGCACAACACTCCCATAGCAGTATAAAGCTCTAGCAGACACCAGTGCACAGTGCGACTCAAATACCACCAGATTACAAAGGGGCAGAGTACTTCTGGAGTGACAGGAAGATCCGACCAGCTGCCTGTGTTGGAAGCTGAGGTAAGCCTAACTGGGAAGGAGTGGCAAAGGCATCCTATTGTGACTGGTCTGGAGGCTTGATGTATCCTTGGCATGGACTACCTTAGGATGCAAAAGGGCACCCTTGGGCTTTTGGTATAGCTGCCTTGAGCATGGAGATTAAGCAGCCGTCTAGCTTGCCTGGTCTCTCAGAGGATCTGTCCGTGATGGGGTTGCTGCGGATTAAAGAAGAGCAGCTGTTCAATTGCTACAATGAGAGTGAACCAGTGACAGTATCACACCAGTCAAGACTCCCTGGTTCCCATCCATAAGCTGGATCAGTAATTGTAGAGTCAAGGAGTGATCAGCAAGACACTCACCCTTTAATTTAAAGTCCCATATAGCCAGTGCAAAAATCTAACAGAGAGCAGAGGCTAACACTGGACTATCATGGCCTGAATGAAGCCATGCCAAGGCTGACTGCTGCCACACCAGACATGTTAGAACTCCAGTATGAACTGGAGGCAAGGGCAGCCAAGAAGTATGCTACAACAGGTATTGCTAAGACATTTTTCTTTGGCAGCAGTGCTCAGGCCACAGTTTGCTTTCACATGGAGAGGCATCCTGTACACTTAGAACTGGCTGCCCCGGGGTGGAAACACAGCCCTATTATTTGTCACTGACTGGGACAACTGCACTGGAAGTCCTGACCACCTGTAGTGCACTGATGACATCACTATGTGGGACAACCTGCCCCCAGGGAGTTTCCACAGTATGTGCCTACACAGGCTCAATTAACCCTTCAGTCCTAGGTCCTAGCAACTTTATTCATGTTTGTTTTGAGCAGTGCCTCACCTGGATGTGGTTCTAGGACTCAGGGCCTGACTTGACTCTGCCAGGTTGTGGTGCCTCCTCAAAGGCCAGGACAGGGCTTTCCCAAAAACCCTGTTTGCCCCTGAACTGCTGTCTTCTGCCCTGCAGCACACTGGGGTGCTGATGGGGAGTGTGGCTGAAAGAGACTGTGTGCTCGTGCCAAAAACTTGATGCTACCTCCCCACCTGCTTGTTTTTTATAAGAATGGTTTGTTCTATTTGAGCCTTGCTGATCCTTTCAATTCCTTGGGATTGAAATAATTTATTTGAAATTCTTTTAGAAAACTTCTTACTGTAGTATTGCTCTCCTCAAGCCACTTCCACCTGTAAAAACCTTTTGCAGTGTCTTACATTGAGGTTTTGGTGGTGGCTGAAGTCTATTTTGGTTTTAAGTCAACCCTTTTCCTTAGGGATGTAAATGAAAGAGGTGTGGTTTTCTACATTAAAGCTTCCTACTGGGTTTCTGAACAATTTCTGTTTGGCCAAGCTCTGGGAGGAGGATTTTGACACTTTTTCTTTCTGTGAATGAAAGCTCTGCTCCTAGTTGGGTTTCCTGATGGGATGTGGCTCCTTCTCAAGCTGTGGCTCATCCTGTTCTGCAGAACAGGGTCCTGCCTGATCACCACCGAAGGGAGAGAGAGGACTGACTGCCAAACAGAGCACAGGTAAACTCTCCAGTCAGGGCACATTTACTGAGTGGGGTGGGGGGTGGTGCCCTGTGAGGCAGGAGGCCATGGACTGCCCTGCACTGGTCAGTCAGCTCAGCAGAGGCCAGAGGCACAAGAAGCTCTGTCTGCTGAAGAGCTGGAGAGCACTCACACCATTCCACTGCACACACAGGCTGCAGCCACCTGTACCAGAACCCTGGTACCAGCTCAGCTCTGCTGGCTGGGGAGCCGGGCTGTGGATCAGCACAGAGTAATTAGTAACTCGTTCTTCTGTCCCTGGGATTACAAACACCAATTGCCCAAACACCACCATTCTAGTCATGCTCCGACTCTGCTCCAAGCAGAGTTCACCCCTACTTGCAGGCTGCATCCAGGGGCAAACACAGGATTTCAGCTTCATCCTGGAGTTCAGACCACAGATGGCAGCACAGGGACGGGAGCCCATGAAATATTGGGGGGCTGAAAAGACAAACTTGCTGCTTGGGGATTGGATAGGGGGTGGTTGTGCTCAAAACCAAACCTTCTTTTTACTGTGGGCTGTAGAAGCCTGTGGGCTTGTAACCTCAAGCAGGAATGGCCCCTAGCCTCCCTAGAGGTGGCAATCCAGAGATCCTGGGTGGGATCTTGAGAGAAGTAAAACGAGTAACAGAGTCACAGGCCAGGACAGCTCACTTTGGCTTTATCAGGGATGTGCCCAGCAGGATGCCGTGGGAGACTACACCAAGGCCAGTGCTGCTGGGTCATCTCCAAGGAGCTCTCATCAGGCCTGGGGGCAGTAAGGCATCACACCCACCCCCAAGAGAGATCAATGTAAGGAACACTTCAACTAGAAAACAATAACAGAACAAAAGACACCCCAAAAACTAATTCAGGAAAAATACTATTCACAGAACTTTTAAGAAGAAAAAAAAAAAAAAGTAGTAGTGAGTGTTTTACTTCAGAGTTCTACTGTTTGGGGTTTTGCTATTAACAATGCAGAAAGATCGAAAAAGTGGCTGGCTAAGGGGCTTCCAGGTCTGACAGCTACCCACAGCTGTTGATCAGTATTGGCTACTCACAGGAAAGTGAGGATCTCAGCTATGTTACTTTAATTCTCCCAAAGCAACATGAGTTGTCAGGAATGTCCCAACCTGTACTGCTGTAATGCAGGCAGCTCATTTTCATCTGCTTGAGCATGTAAGGATTTAGCTTAGAACCAAGGAGCTGAAACAGCAGTTTTATCTGTGCTGTTGGTTCCTTTGCTCACATAAGACAGGCTTCACATAACAGAATGCAGATGATGTACATGATGGGGGATACTCTGAAATGCAACAGCAAGAACATGTAAAGGATTAGTTCAACAGGTATTTGTTCCATTTCAACCAAATGAAATTTCTGCAGTTAATTTTAGCATGTAAGAATGACAGGCTTGCATGTCTATCACTTCTCAGCATCTTAACTTTTTACCTCTGGGAAGGAACCATACTCCTCCCTAGCAGAAACAATCCATTTTGTAGAGAATCTCAGTGCTGGGCACACAACAGCATTACATGAAGTAAAAGAATACAGACTGTGTCCAAAAAATGCAGGCACTGGAACTTTGTAGCATTCATTTCATTTCTACTCCAAACAGCTCTGGCTTTGGAATTCTTTATTTGGTTTGAAATATGCTGAACACAGATCCTATGTCCAAGTTCTTCCAGGTCTCTTCACAAGTTTCCCTCCCACCTCTTACCTGCCTGGGTGGATACTAGTAATTCAGAACATTACTAGATATAAGATCACGGTCAAATAAAGCTACTAAAAGGCAGTAGAAGTTGACAGCATTGGATATGACTGCAGGAACACACTCTTCCACTCTAACCCTCCTGTTCTAGGCTCCTGGAACACATGTAAAGCAGTAAGACTTCTGACGAAATATAGAGAAGGGAGAACATGTTCCCTAGGTGCATGCCCTCCAGAACTGAAGTGTCTTCAGATGCTGTCCAACCCCACCACAGGGCTAGAGCTGCACTGCATCGTGCGGTGCCTGGAGAGGTACTGCTGCTTTCCATCCGGCCGGGGCAGACAAAGCCCTTATCCTGCAGAAGGGCTCTTTGCTGCATGGGGCAAGAAAAGAGGCACAGCTCGTATCTTCACTGTAAGGCAATGGAGGGCCACCCTTCAGCCACGAGTAGGTCTTGAGGTTTTTTCATGTCTCTTTTCTGAAGGGTCTGCATTTCCTCCTTCACTCTAAAGCAGCTAGTTCCTCCAGGAGCTGCTCTTTCTCATGCTGCAGCTCCTGCACCCGCTGTTTGTTCTGCTCTAGTCTGTCCTCCAGCCACTGAAGGAGTGGCCCGCTGATGGCAGACATCTGGCTGCAGAGGTTCTTTGTGAACACTGGAAAAGCAAGAATAATACATTGTGCCAGTGCAAACACACAAAAGACTCAGTGTGCTACAACAAACTCAAAGCCAAAAGCATTAGGCAGCAAAGGAAACCCTCCAACATCCTGGCCAAGGCAACCAGACATCCCCATAGCAACATCAGAATCAGCTGCTTGCTAAACACAGAAAGAAGGTATTTCAATCTGACATTTAGACACCCAGGGGAGGTTTGACAGGCCTACAAAGGAAATCTGGAAATCTGCATATAAGTAATCATTTATGCTAATGAATTTCTAAATTTAGAAGCCAAGCCTGCCTCATTTATTGAGCAGGTGAGAATGGACAATGGGGCATTTATTCTGGATTAGGATTTACCCTATCTCGCTGGCAAAAGCACAGATGTCATCTGGATGTAATGTACACAAAGTGCCAGAAGATGCACGGACATGTATAGATCAGCCAGACACTACTTTAGGACTCACCAAATCCAAAATTCCCTTGCCGTTCTAACAGAAAAAAAAAAAAACCAAACAAACCCAAAGTCTACTGTAATTTTAAACAATTGTACAAAGGTCAAAGGATACAACAGCATTCATAAACCCCAGGATTAAGTTATTTTACAGCCCTTGATGTTTTCCTTTAAAGTGTTTAGTTACAATTCTGTTCCTCCACTAGACTTTACGTAACAAGATAGTCTCGGGAAATTCTCTGGTAACATTATACAGTGTTTGTGACTGGAAATTAACTGTATGAAACAGAAAAAGACAAAAGTTTGTGCTTTTACAGTTATTTACAAGTGCCTTTTATGGCAAAAGGAAGACTGTTACACAGTTGTGGTCTACTGTTCGTTCCCTCAAGTAGGAGACAAACCAACCCCTGCTCAAGACTCTACTGTTTTGACTCTGGGAGCAGCATCCTGGACTCTCACATGCAGAAAAGGAATCCTTACCTGAGCCATTATGAATCTTGGTTATGGAGTCTAGGTGGGTGAGGCTAAGAGAATGAACAGAATGCAGGTTAGTGACAAGATAGCAGGGAATTGCAAATTAGGCAAACCCAGGCTATAGAACCAGCTACCTACAAGTCACTGACACTGCAGGTACATCTAAAGTTCTTCACTTGTTGAAGCCCTTTAAGTTCCTAAGGATAACAAGAGTTTACAGCATAAACATCAGTGTTGAGCTCCAGAGGTAGAAAAAAAAAAACAGCTGATATTTAATCTCATTTTTCAGACTTTTCAGTACTCTTACCCTTGTTAAACACTAATTCCTGTCACACACAGACATATGGCTGAAGTGCCACCATCAGTTCACACATGCTCTAGCTTTTTTTGTTGCAGCAGAGGAGCAGTTATGCTTAGCTCTTGTGTACAAAGCTGAGAGAACTTGAATTCCTTAATGTGAAGGTATTCCATCAGTTCTCCTACAGAGGCATGTGAGCTGCTAATGTTTATTTTCTATATCTCTGCTAAGGTTATGGTACTTTAAGTCCAGCAACAGAACATATTTAGCAAAGTCAGTCTTGGAAAGGGGGACAGCCCCAGGTTACCTGTGAATTCTCCTGTAGGCATCTTGCTCTTCTTGGCAAAGGATCTTGGGCAATTCTACAGCTGATTCCAGACATACTTTCCCAATGGTTTCATGGGGGACAACATGAATAGGAATTTCAATCCTTTCATATCTAAAAGGGTATCAGATAAAATTAACTTCAAAGCAACAAAGAAAAAAAAAAAACAAAAAACAAACAAACAAGACAGTCTACAAACCTGCAATAGTTTGTCCAATGCATGGCACTGATGCAGGTTTACTTTTGGGAACACATGTCTGAGTTCACAGGCAGATAGAAACCTTTTATAGCCACACACTTGTCTTAAATATTAATGATAAAACACAAAAGCAACTAGATGGCCAGTACTGACAATATGATGCACAGCATGTGTGCAACTGGTGGGAATCTACACCAGGCAAGCTTGAAGCCTCAACCTCTACAGCTGAAAGCAAAAGGGTGGATCTTCTACACAACAGATTACAGCACAAATCCACACCCAGACTACATTGTCCTACACCAAACCTTAAGGTACTAAATTATCTAGGCTAAATTAATCGATCCTAATCTTTTGATTGAATTCAAGCAGCCTGTTTTAGCAGAGGTAAGGAGACTCCACTCAGGCATCTCTATACAATATTTGCTCCTCATGATGAACCTAGAAGCCATTTATCTGAGACAATCCAGAAAGGAGAGACAAGATTAAATATAACCTGATGCTGGACATAATATTCTTCTGCTGTACTCACTCTGAGCTCTTCTGGGCCTGAATGGACTGGAAACAGGTATACAGAATCCTGCCTGTCTAAGAGAGACAGCAGAAAATCAGATTCCAAGAGGAAAAAATAATTTAAAACCACACATTCCTTTAGGAAGCAGAATGTGCTTTCAAATAGCATTTTAACAGGTTGTAAAGGTACAGGTTTTCCACTTTGATTGGCATGCTAGAACAAGCAGATATCGACAGACCCATTAACTATTTAAAAAAATCTTAAACAATAGCTACCTGGAAAACCTAGACATGACACACCACTGGCAGCTTGTCTCACACTATAGCAGTGAAGAGGCTAGAGGCACAGAGGCACAAGAAGCTCTGTCTGCTGAAGAGCTGGAGGGCACTCGCCCATTCCAATGCACACACAGGCTGCAGCCACCTGATGAAGTCCCAGAACCCTGGTACCAGCTCAGCTCTGCTGGCTGGGGAGCCGGGCTGTGGATCAGCACAGAGTAATTAATAACTTGTTCTTCTGTCCCTGGGATTATAACCCAAATGCCAACATTCTAGCCATGCTCTGACTCTGCTCCAAGCAGAGCTCACCCCTTCTTGCAGGCTGCATCCAAGGATTTCAGCTTTGCCCTGGGCTAATGTTTCTCATGAGTACTTGGAGGGTTTACTGCCATTTTTTAAAGTTGCCTACCTTTGTGTTTTTGTCCTCAATGAAGCAGGAAAATATAAGCCCTACAAAACCTTGGTCCATCATCTGATACATAGCTTGTGTGCGGACATCTGTAGATAAATAAGAGCATGAGATCTGTACTGCCACCTTTTGAAAGGTGACTTAGAACTTGTTAACAAACATCACAAGTTTTTTTTTGAAGTCCTCACTCTAGGTGTCTAAGTTAAAAAAAAAATTATCCAATTTAAAATGTAATTAAACAGAAAATGTTAAAAATACAAGATGAGTTAATAAAACAATAAACGATCTTAGCATCACCCTGGTGCCATAGATTACTATATAACCATGATCTCCAACACGTACAAGATATTCATGCACTTCCTTCAAAAAAGTTTTGGTTTTTGCATTAACAATCACAGATGTCAAAAATCATCACAGGAGGCCTATGATTCCCACAGCTCTTTCTGTTATTCCCCAGACCCTCAGTCTAGTTTTCCTGTCTGGAACAGCAGTAGCACCAGCTGATCTGGGAGTACTGAGTCACGTGCAGTTTGAGCGCCTGGAGCATACAGACAGGACTGGGACGATACTGGAAGAGGTTCCTGAAGCCCACCCAGACAATCTTGTCCTACCAGAGGACATCTGAGAAACCAAACTTTGGTAGTTGGAATGTGCAGCTCTGAAAATCCAGTTTTCCTATAGAGCCTACACCAAGTCTGCTCTTACCAACATGCGACGGCCAGACAGTAATATGAGGATGAGAGTGATACCAGCCCACAACTCTCATAGGACGTCCCGTAATTTCAGCCAACCTGTGTGTGAGTCAAGGTGCTTTTGAAACCAACAGAGCAAATAGAAGGTTTTTTAAAAGGAAAACCAGCAGAGTTTTAAAAGAGTTTCTTATCAGTCAACCTCTAAAGGGGTGACAAGACACACAGTAGGAAGCTGATGGAAACCTCTTCCCCAGCACCAGCAGGATGCCACTGCTGCAGAAGCAAACTGGATTTTTGCATGTGGCAGTAAGCAACATGGCAGCAAGCTGTCCAAAACAGCATCCTTAAGTGTATGTGGTGAAAGGGCTCTCCAGGGCACCATGCTTCAGAACACAGACTTGTCAACCTTTTGTCTTCTACTAAGTCTCCCTGCTGAGCTACTACCCTCCCACAAAGACATATTTAATTGTGAGCAAATACAAAGAAATTATAGAAAACAGTTATAACACAATTCCACTGCAAACAGTGGAACCAATAAAGACTTCAGACAATGGCAAATGCCAGCCCAGCCCTCCAAACTGTTCTGAACAGTTGTTGGAAGAAAGCAGTTGACGACTTCAGGCCAACTTAGAACAAGTCTAAACCCGAGTACATAAAAAGAGGTCTGAAGCGAAAGTTTGCTACTGTATCTACTAAAGGATATCTCTGCTTCAGTAGAAGCAGCTGAAAGCTGCTCTGGTGAAATTTCCACACGGTCTTTCCTCTTATCAGAGCGGCGCAGGATGATCACAGAATGGATATGAACAATCCGGCTGGTATCAACCTAATGACATGGAAAGAAAAATCGATCATTTGTCTGCTAAAGAAATAACTGCCCTCAAAGACAAGGCCTGCTCCTGTACCTTCTCCAGGGAAAACGCAGCAACAGCGCACAGTCAAGCACGCGGATGGGAAGCTTTCCTGACTAAGCTTTGACTTTCACAGCAGGAGCAGAGAGGAGAGGCCTGAGGCCGAGCGGCACGGCTCTGCCCGAGAACCGCCCCACAAAGGCCTGCACAACGCTCCCTGCGCGGTGACCGAGCCCCGCTCGGAAGGCGGGAGCTCGCAGGCCGCTCTCCCGCGGCCCACCCCG